TCTTAAATTTGGTTCACATTAATACAGTGAATTAAGATATTTAAATTTTATGTCAGAGTAGGCCTTTTGGGGTAGAACTTAAACCATTCTCGTAATCAATATAACCTTTAAAATCCCGTTTAGTTACAGACAAATGTATCATGAAATTATAATTAAATTCAAATCATTTGCAAAAAAACATAAAAAACATACGAAAAACACTAACGGATTTCCCCGACCCTTTGTCCGACGACAAGTGGATGCGCTTATGAGGCACTTCTTCGGCACCACTTCTGGGGTGACGTCTCTTTGAGTGATAGGCCGTGTCCTCAATCCTCTTCGTGTTCTTGTGGTCGTGTTGACTGAAATCTTTGGCCACATTGAGGTTCTGGTGAACACTGGAACGCGTCTCCATTCTGTCGTATATCGAGAGGATTGTCGGCTCGTCGTCTGAAATCGATAGCAACCTCCGGATCTCCGAAGCCTTTAATTTGGTGTCCTTAGATCTATCTTTTGAATTATTTGTGGATTTCTGTTTGTCCGCAGATTTAGACAATTTCTCTGATTTTTCTTCCATTGAATCGCTGGATGTCGTATAGGGCTTAGAGACTGTCAGTTCAATTTGAGTCAATCCTATCTCTGATTTGTTTGTATTGTTTGTTGAATTGGTTTTCATTAATAAGTATTTATAGAAGAAATTGAAATCAAATTTTCGTAAAATCATGGATTGAATGTGTGTTTGAAATGTGGAAATCATTTCATCGGTTATACGGATATTATGCGCGAAAATGTCGTTAAACTCATTCACCATATCCTCGACCGAAGGGATAGTTTTATTTGAATATTTCTTAAAATTTAAATACTCTTTTATGCTATAAGTTTGTATACCCTGGTCAGTCGGAATATTATTCCTAAATGATTACAAATTATAAATGTGCATAAAATAACTAAACGTCCAATCGACAAATAAAAATGAATTCAAATCAAAAAATTAAAAGAATTGTTTAATAAGTTTTAAAAATTTTTAATAAATCTTTATATTATATGATGAAAATAGGATATTAATAAAGTTTTATATGTTTGAATGATTAAACACTGCTTTTAATCATTCCATTGAATTTATTTTTATTTATCGATTGTACGGTTTGTTATTTTTACAATTTATGTTATAAATTATATTTAACTAATAAATTTATACTTACTTTTTCATAGCTGGACTAAATATATCATCGATTCTTTTCCGGTAATAACTATAATAACAATAACGAAGAGATTTTGCTGTCTTTGGAGTACAGCCTGTGTCTACCATGATACATCTTCCATACTTTATATTAGTATCAATTAAAAAATATTTATTATTTATATCCCATTTATCTAATAAATCCCACACTTCCTGATAATAATTAAGACATTCTAAGAGTTCTCGCATTAATTCACACGATATGTAGAAATCAATGCAAGTCATGTCAACGGAGGTCTGGGTTTTGAAGATTTCATTTTTTTAGTAATTAACTTCTGCAGAGTTAGTGAACTATTTATATATTCCCTTTGAATGATTACTTTACTATTTTCAATCCAAAAGTTGTAATATTTTACCGAAAATTGCGAATTCGTGTCAAATTCCTTGTTTATACCAACAATTAATTTATTCATTTCTTTAACAGTAGCTATATATATATAAATTATATAGATATATAAATATAAAATGGTATAAATAATGTATACTAGTATAACATGCGGTATTATTACATGCATAAATATTTTCTTACCTGGTATATTTATTTTGGATAATTTAAATACATGTCCTGAAGATTTATGTATAAATGATTCATCAAACCAATTACACTTCACAAACATCGACTCATTTATTTCACCAGTGTCTAAATGACAAATAATTATAAAATAGATTTTTAAAAATTTATTTGAAATAAAACAAACCCAAACTAATTTTCTGATTATTGCTTCGTATGAAACAAAATGGTTTACTACTCATAAATATTTTCCAAATAATATTGTCATTAATATTAGTTTCAGTTAATTTCCACTCATTTTCCCCAATAATAAGTTTATTTGTGATAATTGTCTGCAATTGCGATAAAATGTGCGAACATTCGGGTCTTTGTCTCCAATCTGTTGAACCATTTTTACGATACATATTGACAGCCATTGACACCAATAATGCATTCATTTTATTCAACAAATCATTCACCGATTTATTATATTTTTTAATTAATTCGGTACTAAATATGTAGACATTAATATAAATTTATAACATTAATAATAAATATTAATTTAATTTTTAAAATGTTTACACATTTATACTTACTTTCCATTTGTTAACTCATTTGCATTGAAACCAAATAATTGAGCCCCAATTAGCGATAGACTGTAGATATCTATCAAATGATTGTAATCATTAGTCATGGCTTCCGGTGCCTGATATGATAGATCCCCGATATCTGCCGTATGTTTAGCTTTAGACATATTATACGAATCAATATTCACGACCTCTTTAGCCAAACCAAAGTCACATAACTTTATGCGTCCGTCCATTGAAATCAATACATTATCCGGTTTAAGGTCTCTATGAATGATATGGTTTTGATGCAAATATTGCAAACATTCAATGAGTCCACGATATATTTCATACGAAATATAATAATCAAAACCAGTCATCAATTCATTATTTGGTTTTTTGGTTTCCAAAAGGTTTTTGAGATTATTTAAACATAACTCCATTTGAAAGTAAAGACAATTGCATTCAATCCATGAATAGTAGTATTGAATCATATATTCTGACCGAAGTTTCACAAGATTGCGTTTCATTCAAAACATTTTGTTTCTCTTTTTCTGATAAATCTTTAGATTAATTATAAATATTTTTAAAAATATCTAATTACAGTTAATAAACTTATAATGTAAACTTTACCGTTTAATTTACATATCTTTACCGCATATTCTTCATAATTGTCTTTATGTTTAACTTTGTATACCTGTCCATAAGCACCCTCACCAAGCTTATTTATCACTTCAAATGATTTAGTAAACGACACCAAATTTGATTGATAAATATTATCTAAATTAATTTTTATTAAAATATAGTCTTAATAAAACTATAAACATTTAAACAGTCATAATACATACCTAGATTATTTCTATTTTCATTTAGCAATTGCTTATTATATTGCAAATTATTAAACATAATTGTATTTACAGTCAAATGTAATTCATGTGAATAGTAATCATCAAACGATGTATACTTTGTTTCAATAATATTTGGAGATTGAAATTCATATATTATATTATTATATGATAAACCAGTTATTATTGATTTGTGTTTCTTACATGAATATATTTGCATGATTTCAGTGAACTTAATATTTTCATTCATTTTTATCGTTTGTTTGTTACGAAAATCGTATGAATATATGAATCCATCGTTTGATAACAAATACACAAATGTTTTATGTTTAATACAAATATTTTGAATTTTTGCATTTTCTAATTGAATTGTATCCCTATTATTAAAATCATAAGTATTTCCCCACATAAGCACCAGACCGTCAGATGTAAAGGCAAATGATGTATTCAAATAACATTTAATTTTAGTAATTTTGTATTCAATCGGGAATTGTATTTCAAATGGACTTAATATCATATCTAATTTGTCCATGTAATAATCAATTTCTCCATAAATATTATAACCCCATCCGAATACCTGTCCATTAGATGTCAATACAATTGTGTGCCAATAACCACAACTTATTTCAGTAATAATTAAATCATTTGAAACAATATTTGAAATGACGTCTGGTTTATGACAGCCATCCCTATCCACATCCCGTCCCAATTGTCCCCATTTATTGATACCAAAACTAAATACCTGTTGATCTGTATTGACAGCCAATACAATGGTATATCCGTTGAAAAATTGTTGTATGTTTTGATGCCTTAATTCAATCACTTCTACCGGTTCTTCCACTTTATTTCTGTGGCCTAACCCGAGCTGACCAAAGGAATTAGATCCCAATCCATACACCAAATCATCAAATGTAACAAACAATATGTTATATCCATTCATGTCTTCGAAGACATAAAATAATTTAATGCATTGTTTTATATCTTCTGGTATTTTGTCACAAATCGGATAATTTGATTACAATTTGAATGAAAATCATGTAACAAGTTGAGTTAAATTATTGGAGATACAGTAATTCAATAACTATCCTACTGTAAATAAAAACAAGACGGA